AACAGGAAACATTAAAAATAAGGATATTTCACAATCTGGTTAAAAAAAAAAAAGGAGGTAAAAGATTTGTGGTTCAAATTCTAGTCCAGATCTATGGCATTATGTGTATATAGTATCGTATAAAAATTATATCTTAAATATATATTAAAGACCAAAGAGTGAATAACTGCAGCAAATTATGAACCAGTGATTTGTGTTTTTCCCCCCAAATAAGAAGTTCTTTCTGTCAGAAATTCGATAGCTCAATAAATGTTAAATCAATAAACAAAGAATTTTAAATATTACATATATTTTATTGTCTACCTACTATATGTTGAGCATACAGAACTTGTGTATTACTTCTTTTATTTATTTTTTATTTAATTTTTTGGAAACAAGGTCTTTGTTGCTTGGGCTAGCGTGCACTGGCATCATCATAGCTTACTGCAACTTCAAATTCCCAGGTTCAAGCGATCCTCCTGCCTCAGCCTTCTGAGTAGCTGGTACTAAAGGCACATACCACCATACTCAGGTAATTTTATTTTTCTTTCTTTTTTTTTGTGTAGAGACAGTGTCTCACTATGTTGCCCAGGCTGATCTCAAACTCAAGCAATCCAACTGCTTCAGCTTCCCAAAGTGCTAGGATTACAGGCAGAACTTATGCATTGAAATTGTCACAATCCTTAAAGGCACATTTTATTTCCATTATATGGATGAAAATTGTACTTCAGTCCAAAAGTATTAACTGAATTTACAAAGGTATCTTATTTGAGGAATGGGTATTTTCTAATATATATAATTTAATAAACTTAGAATTTCCTAAATTGAAATGTATTATAATTTTATTGCAGCGACAATTTTACCAAAGTGAAAATAATAAAAAATTATGTTATTCTAAGCAAGTATGCTCATCTCAGTACTCCTTGATTAAAAGAAAAAAAATTCATTCTGAAGGCCAGGTTATTTGACAAGTCTCAGCCCTGGATTAAGTTCTTTGGCAGTTCCTTCCTGATTCCTTTTATTAGATACTCCTCAGACTTCTCAGTGACCCCATGGTTCAGTGCTTTGCCCTTTTCTAAATTTACATTCATTTCTTTGATTACTGGCTTTCAAACTTTTGATCATGCCACACTACAAATAATAAATGTTATAATGCAACTCACTATATAATGAATAAGACTGAAACAAAAATGTTTTAATATTATTACTTGGGATAAATCTGATATTTTTTACTCTGTAATCTTTTTTTTTTAATGCTGGTTGTTACCAAACTGATTTCAATGGGGCACAACTCACAATATTACAACAATGTTCCAGGTGATCTCCAGTGCCATAGCTTTAAATATCATCTGACTCCTATATTCACATCTCAGCTACATCCTTTTTCCATGAACTCTACACTCCTATATTCCATTAATACTTGACATCTCTACATGGATGTTTTTCTCAACCTTCTCTCCTTCCCTTTTGGTCCACTTCTTGGTAAAATGGCAACACCATTTACACAAATGCTCAGGCCATAAACTCTGAAGCCCCACTCCTTTCTCTCTCTCATACCCTGCCATCTCTACCTTTTTGAAATACATGCTAAAGGCAACTCCATAGCCCCCTTTCCTTTATCACCTTAATTTCAGTCATCACCAGCCTTATAAGGACCATTGCAAAAGCCTATTAAAACTATTTTGCTCTACTCTCCACACAATGGGCCATTCAATAGTCTGGGTAATCCTCTAAAAACAAATCAGATCATGTTCCCTGCTTAGAACTACCCATGGCTCCTAAGCACACTTAAGAGTAAAATCCAAATTTCCTATTACGACCTATAGGCCTAATGTGACCCTAGCTATCCTTCTTGTTTAGACTTCATCTCCTATCCTTCCTCAGTCCCTTCCAGCCATGGTTCTCCTTGCTGTTCTTGGAAGATGCCAGAAATGCTCCCACTTGAGAATTTCTGTACTTGCTATTCATTTGCCTAGACTGCTCTTCTCTGAGATATTCACATGGCTTGCTCCCTCATTTCATTGATTTCTCTACATAAATCAAAGGCCTCAGAGCAGCCTCTCCTGACTACCTGAATTTTAAAAGCACTCTCATTACTCCCAATTCTATTATCCAGCTTTCTTTTTCTTCATAGCACTTATCACCTAATACTATAATATCACAATGCTTAAATAGTACTCACATTTTAGTTCAAGGAGTAAATGAATTAATGTACATAAATGAATGTCAGTAACCACTATCATGAGTACTACTGAGAACTTTAGTACAACATGAACCTCATTCTTCATAACACCATTCTTTTACTTCTAATAAATCTACTTTAAGGGCCAACTAAGTATAAATTAAAATGAAGAAACAGGATCATCTTTGTGAGCTGAATCAGAAAAAGTATAACTGGAATCTACCCAAATTTTTAAGTAAAGCATAGATGCTTTTATGTATATTGATATTCAGGCAAGAGAAGTAGTTATCTTAACTAGATTCGATATACTAAGCCTGCAAGGATATTTATACAATAACAATTATAAAATAATGTATTAGAGCCCAGACTCTTGAGCCAGGCTAACCAGGTACAAATCCTGGTTCTGATTCTTAGTAGCTATAAAAAAATTTTTATGCACCTTGGTTCCTCATTTATAAAATGGCAACAATAACAGCACCTACCTACAGTATGCTGTGAGAACAGAATAATCCCTGTCACATGGTTAGCCCCTAAATAAATACTAGCTACTATTATTCATTTATAAGTTATCTCCAAATTCCTTATCCAAGACACTATTAAAATATGCAAACTTTGATGCAAAACCCAAATTATGTTTGTACTGCCAAACTCCTTCCCACAAAAGATAAGGGACTGATGTTAAATTGGAAAGTTTCTCCCTCCCCTCCAAATATTGAAAAACCTTGTTTGTTACTGAGGCTGAAAGCCAGAGAGTCATGAAATGGTACAATATAAAAGGGAAACCCTTAGTCCACATGCATATTAACTGATTATATTGTACAAAATAAAGTAGTTCAGCACGTCTGTTAGTATGGAAAAATTACAGAACTCTTATTTTAAAGATTAAAATTTAAATCTGCTTAAATTCGCTTCTACATTAAATGTTCAACATTTTGAACATTACAACTTAGCTTGTGTTTTATACTTTTCATAAAACAACACTATTTGGTTATAAATCCCCCCCCATTTTATTACCATAATATAGATTTTTTTAAAAAAGCTTACCCCTACAGAGATAAATAATAGCTAATTACCTTAAATATTAAAGGTCCAAGATAACAAAAAAACAGCTTTTTCAGAGCTCATTACGTGATGTACTATGGGATACAGTTAAGTCCTAGAGGACAAAAGCCAGTAATTAAAATTAGCTGTTTTCTTATCTGGGCTAGAAGTAGAAAAAAAAATGTTTTAAAGTGAAAAAGCTTACCATAACCTTAGCCATGAAGAAAGGGTGTAATTTTTTCTCTAGAGAATCAGGGAATCATTGGTTGCTATGGAGTCACAATGCTTGCTGCTAAACCTAACCTCATAATTAACAGAGATCCACAGCACAAAAAACTAACATGTTAGAAACATCAGCAACCCTGAAATAAAATTACTGAATCCTCACAGCAAACAATACCTGTGCTTGTTATGCTCGAAATGGTTTAAATCCCTGCCTCCCAAGGACTAATCATAACAGAATTCAGTAGGATACTTTCAATACTTGAGGATAAAAACAACATGTGCCAGGGAACTGCATATACTATAGAAGATGTGTTAGCTGGCTGCTCCCAGAATGTAGTTTCAAGGCCTGCTAAAATGTTGCTAGAAAGGCCAATTGGTTACTCAGTATTTCTTCTTATTTCAAACCATAGGTGATGATACAAAAGCTACAAAGTTAAACAGGTTTAAAAAAACAAAAACAAAACTTGATGGGCCCGGTACTATAGAAAAAACGATTCTCAAATCTCTTTGACTTTTCCAGTCTTATTTCTGAAGCTAGGCCTTATAAAATGAGGCTTTCGGGTATAACCTAAACACAATTTCAAGTGATGAGTATGCTTAAGGCAAACCTCTCAGCAGCGTATGCTCCCCACCAGGTAGTTAAAAAAAACTCCACAGAGATTAATGTCTGATTTATTAAGTATGACAGCAAATCACTCAGTTGTTGTAACAGTTTATTTTCATAGTATTTAGGTGACCATGTTTACATGTTTAAATTTGTCACATCACTAGTTCTTGCTGGGTTTTGCATTTTCTCCTGTAAACATTGTTTCTACAGATAGGCTTAGAAAAAAAATAGCGGCATACTATATTTTTTTATCAATTTAGCACAAAATTTATTATTAAATGCTGGCATTTTCTTGGTATTCAAGAATTTAGTAACAAGGAATGGGATCCTGGCATTAAGAATAAAGGGAAAAATAACAAGACACCTAGTCTTGGAAAAATAACAAGACACCAGGTAGAGAGTTGGGATGGGAAGCACGTGTATTATCAAATGTTTCCGAAGCCAAAGCAACTCAAAACAACTTTCCATAGAACTAAAAAACCGACGAGAGACACAGCTTTGAGAACGTAACGTAAGCGAATAGGCCAAAACGAAGCAGGTCCTTTGGAGTAACGGTTACGTAGCGTTCACATACACCTGGTTTCTCTAATCAGGAAGGACTGGAAAGGAAAATTAAATGCCAAAGAGGAAAAAAAAGTTAGTGTGATCCAAGTGGTCTTGAAATCGTACTTAACAGCAAAAGACCCCACAAACCCCTTGCAGCAGCTCCCCCCAGCAGCAGAGGAAGGCAGGCGAGACGGGCTCGGGGAAACCCGGGAACGCGCACACCTGAGCACCCAATCCGCACCTCCGGAGCTGTGGCGAAAACAAGGCCGAGGCAGCCCTGGCTGGAAGGAGATCAGTAACTCCCCGCCCTCGTCCTTCCCACCCTTACACGCATCCTCAGCCTCGTCGACCCGGATGCAAACGGCAGTCCCCGGAAGGTCGCGGGGGCTGAGAAGCTGGCGGCCCGAGCGCCTTCTTTACCTGGTCGCAGAGGCGCGGCCAGGCAGGGAGGGTGGTGCGTGCGCGCGTCGGAGACCCCGGCCGCCGGCGCCTTCTCGCTCAGCTGGAGCCGCAATTCCAAGGTTCCTTCTGGGAGCTGGGGCCCGCGGAGCACACGCTTTCAAAGACACCGAGGAAGAAAAATCAACAGGCAGTACATCCGGCAAACAGCCGCGCCGGCCCTCATTCATAATCCGGCGGACCGGAAGGGAGGTGTTACGTCACTTCCTGCTGTGGCCATGCCAAACGTTTCCCCTCAGCCCTGCAGCGGGAACGTTTGTTTTCCCGCTTTCGGAGCCGGCTAGTGCGGGGACAGGTTCAGAAGGGGCCAGCAGGAACGGCCGGCGCGGCGGGGCGGAGCGGTGAGTTGTGACGAGGGGCCCGGCTCCCGGCCGCATCCGGGTGGCTCGAGACCCCCGCGAGGGGCGAGGGTAGCTTCGTGGGGACTCAATTTCCTCGCTTCTCGAGGGGAAGCTCCGGAATTTTCGAGCGGTTGCGAGCCTCAGCCTGGCCGCTCCCTCTCAGTGAGGACTGAGCTTCCCTCCCAGGTGCTACGGACTCGGGCACGGGGCTGGGGACAGTCCTAGCACTGAGGCCCGGGGACCTCGTCTCGGACCTTCGGCAGAGGATTTTGGCGACCTCTTTGTACAGCTCCCTTACTCCTTCCGTCATCTTCTGGCTTCCTTGTCGAGGACCTTCTCTCATGCTAGGCCTTCGGTGTGTTTTGCTTTGATCAAAGGATGGACGTTCCCTTTCTCAGTGCTGTCGCTTTTCAGCTACTCCACCACTTTGGGGTCTTTTCTCCTGCCTTGTGTTTCCAGGTGTTCCTAAGGTATCAGTGTAATCCAGAACCAAGAACGAAGTAGAGGAATAACAAGGACAGCATCTTTAAGAGAATGTTTATTGAAAGGAGTTGCAAGAGCTTGCAAAGACACGAACAACAAAGTTTTCTAGAGCTGTTGCGAAATAGCAACCCCAGTATTGCAGTGTGTGTGAATAGATGCAGTTTCCTTCACTCATACATATGCAGATGATCAACTTTGGACTTCTTTAGAGATTGGCACGTATGGAAAACGGATCTAGGGGAAAGCATTTATTTATATTTATACAGGAATATCCAATTTAAGTTGGAGAGGTCATAGAAACCCTAAAAGTGACATTTTATGCAAAAACTTAACAGTTTTTCATATGAACTGTTCATTCATTCAATAAATATTTTTGAGCACCAGTTAGTTCCACATACTAGGAAAATAACAATGACAAAATGAATCCCTGCCCTTAAGGAGTTTACATTCTGGTGGGATTAATGAATTTAGGCCAGATGAAAGATTAGGAAGAGAGTATTGCAGATAGGAATATCGTACAAGTCCCAAGTCATGAAAGAAGTGATTTTCGTTTTGCTTTGCTATTCCTGTTTCAGTGTTTGGGGTTTTGGGGGGGGGGCGGGGCAGTGATGGAAGATTGTAGTCAAAAGGAATAGTTGTGGCAAGTTTCCGATTTTGCTGGCTCAAGATGAAGCTTCTTGAGGTTGAAGATCTAAATGAAATGAATATATAAAGTTGGAAAAGATCATCAGTATAAATGCTAAAGTTGTTAAAGATGATGGCGGGGGAGAAGAAGAAGGTGAGCTTAGTGCAACATTAGTAATAGTGGAGATGCAGGTGAATTTCAAGAGATGTTGACATATGGTGGTCTTGGAATATTTTTCTGAAAGCAGCAGTATAAAGTAAGGTCTCCTTAGACCTGTCTTTGCTCATTGAGAGGAAACAAGTCAAAGGAACAGGATTTGGGAGAAGGTTTTAAGGGAGGTGATGTCTTTGGGGAGAAGCATAAAAGTAAAAGAGTAAAGAAGTGCTTCAGGAAAAAGTGGAACAGAGGGGAATGTGTTGGTAATGAGCAGGGGCTAGAAGATAATTGGCAGCTAGCAATGAAGTCAGTGTGGAGAGGAAGAAGGACTGAGCTGAATGGGAGTGCTGGAGGGATTTGCAAGGGGCAAGTTGTACCTTAAAGCCATGATGTATGAGGGAAAGTGGAAACTGCAAGTTGCTAGATAGTCAGCAGTGGCCTCCAAACTGTTCTTATTTATTCCACAAGCAAAAGAACTGAGCATACTTTCATATATATGGCTAGTTGTGGGATATGTTAGTAATTTAGGGCAAGGGCACAAAGTCTGTTAAGTTTTATAATTGCAGGATCATATAAAAAGAACTGACTCCAAGGTTCCAATTGGAATGTTGGTGTTAATGACTTCTGTAGTCTTGTGCTGACTCTGACACTTAATCTGTAATGTAAACCTTTTTTCCATGATTATAGAAATACATAGCAATAAGTACTTTGCTTCCATTTTTGAGCATGGAAATTTCAAGTAATAGTTTTTCTACTATAGTACAAGGATTCTTGTAGGTATCAATCCTTTGTCAGTAACCAATAAAACAGGATAAGTAAACTACTATGCCCTTTAGCTATATAAAATTAGATCAATAGAATTATTAGGCTGTCTTCCACTTGTACATTCTGGAAGAGTGGCAGATTTAGCCTTTTAATCATGGAGATTTTGTTGAGGAGATATTTTTTCCTCAGAACATATATGGTGACCAGTACTATGAGTAAATTTAGAAATAACCTTTCTGTACCTATCATTATGTAGAGGTGATGTATGTAATGATACAATATTGAGAGGTGACAGGCTGCTTCTCAGTTTTTTTAAGTTCTTACTAAGACAACAGTTTGAAATGAGGTTACTTTTTCATTCTAGTATTGGCCTTTGGACTCCTTTTCATGGGCACTTAAGGTGATATTTTAGTACAGCACAGAATTTGACAATAATTTTGAGGTTATCAGGTTAATACCTTCTTGGGAACTTAAAAATAAACAGTCTGGGGTGTGTGTGTTTCCTGTCAGACCTGGAAAGGGATGAGGAGGGAAGTAGGTGGAAGGGAACAAACAATCCATTTTTAGGATGTGCTTTCATATGCCAAGACTGAACCTACAGCAAGTTTGAGTGGCGTTATAAACCCCTGAAAACTGGAGATTATTGTGAAATTGCTGACAGATCCTTAACTGTAGCAGTACAAGTATGTTGCATTATTCTAATATTAACCTCAAGGATAGAAGAGGAGCTCAAGCTGTGGTATTAATATATTGACCAAAAGATTGAACACAAAGAATACATTTTTATTTTAATAATTCTTTGCCTGGAGAGGTACTTGAAAAAGTGACAACCAGAAGTGGAACCACTTGATAGCATTGATATTAACTGAAAACAAAACATTTTAATGCTGTGAAATTTCATAAGTCATTGAGGTATATCTTTATCCATCTTGGCTGTTTTGTAAGCTCCGTAGGACACAGAGCATCATCATAGGTTCTATGGGAGATAGATCGTGTGTGTGTGTGTGTGTGTGTGTGTATGTGTGTGTGTGTGTGTATACATATACATATATATATATATACATACATATATTTTTTTTTTTTTAAAGCAGCTATGGTACCATCCCTCAGAGATCTTTCTTTTTAAAAATAGGTTAACACATAAGATACTGCAATCTAAATGTGATCTAATAAGATTATCAGTGTGTTTCAAGATTAGGGCAGAGGACTAAGGAGGCAAAATTAAAAAAAAAAAAAAAGATAGTTGAGGTAATAAGCAACCTCTACAGCACATCACTTAATGCACCCTTTAACCACTGCCCTCCTGTGACACCCCCTTACACATACAGACACATGCATAGTAAATCTTCGTTTTTTTTTAATGGAAGTAAGGTTTGAGAGAAGAAATTTTGATATAGAGTGAACCTGACCTAAACACATCAAGTTCTATGTACTGAAATTACAAGTGTATCTTTGCAAACAGGTAAGAAGGGGCTCTACAGCAGGGAGAAGCTTATCTGGATTTAAAACTTTGCCATAGATATAGATACACAGAAAATTGATAATGCCAGTCAGGATAAGAAGGAAATTTACTTTTTATCTGTAATAACCTTTTGGACTTTGTAAATTTTGTGTCATGTGTGCAGTATAATCTGTTATAAACAAAGAACAAAATAGATAAAACTTGGACATAGATAATTGCACTTTGTTTCTAAATTACTTCTCTCTCTTTTTTTCCTTCAGGTGTTTGCAATGGCTGCCTCTGTGAACCTGGAACTTGATCCCATTTTTTTGAAAGCACTAGGTTTCTTACATTCAAAGAGTAAAGATTCTGCTGAAAAGCTAAAAGCACTGCTTGATGAATCTTTGGCTCGGGGCATTGATTCAAGTTACCGTCCATCTCAAAAGGTACCTATGTGAATAAAAAGCTTGGAAAGAATAACTTCTTAGCTGAATTAGATAATTGTTGCAAATACTGCAAGATTATACTCAATTTTTTTGTTGCACACCTGATATACTTCTCAGTTTAATCTGCATTATTAACATTTGCTCCATTGCTTTACTAAGTCTACACCAGTGTTCAACAAACTTTCTGTAAAGAACTAAATAGTAAATAATCTTTTTTAGAAATGGAGTCTTGCTGTGTTGCCCAAGCTGGCCTCAAACTCCTGAGCTCAAGCGTTCTTCCTGCCTCAGCCTCTCAAGTTGCAAGTAGTAAATATTTTGAGTTTCATGAACCAGATTGTCTCTGTTACAACTATTTAATTGTGCCATGGTGGCATAAAAGCAGCCATACATTGTACATAAATGAATGGGTATATAGCTGTGTTGCAATATAACTAAAAAACTGTATTTACAGGCCTCAGTCTGCTAAAGCCCAGTCTAAACAATTATCACAATAAGTCAAGCCCTGCTTGATAGGGTTGAAGCCCCATTCTTCATCCCTTCCCTTTCTCTTGGTCTTCAGAGGTAACCACTATTCTGAAGTTGATATGTATCATAACCATTTACATTTCTGCACTTTTATGGATTATCACAGAAAACTAGGCTGCAGTCAGCTATTTCAGTTTTATTTAGAATGATGAGGAAATGCCCTTCTTTTAGGGGAGGGAGAGATTCCAAGAAGCTACTATATATATAAACTTTGTATACTATTAATAAAAGTAAATAACAAATACCTATATTAGCAAAGCTATAATATAAGACTAAGGATTCAAAGTTTAAAACAGAATGAAAAGACAAGCCACAAATGGAGAGAAAATATTTGCAAATCATTTATCTGATAAAGGCTTTGTGCCCAGAATCTGTGAGAAACTCTTTAAACCCAATAATACAACAAACAACCCCGT